GGGAACGCGAACGTACCGCACGTGTGCCCACTCAACGTTCCCGCCCCAAAAAAAACAAAAAACAACTAGAAAGGCCAATATTTGCTTTGGAGCAAATACAGCGATGGGTTCACCACTATTTTACGACATGGCAGGGAAAGAATGAGAAACACAAGGGAAAACAATGATTTACATTGATATAACTATAATATGAAGTAACATACAACTAAAACAACAGTTGGATAGCTATTCCCTACTTTATTGGTTAGGATTTTTAATTGCATAATGCAAACTGTTGATTTTCAAAATAAAAAAAAACGTACATGCCCCGCATTCCAATGCTGGAGCAGAAAAGCTTGAAATAACCTACCAAAACAACTTGAATAAAGACATACTGTCAGTATGAAAATGCTCTGTGCAGGTGTTATTAACAATCACATAAACTATGAAGCCATACATTGAATAAGCTATACATATAATATGATTATCATAACCTTTATTTTTAAAATCATGCCAGTGAGCTAATTGCATGTACAGAGTGAAAGAAAGTAAAGTAAAGCAGTAGAATTTCTGTACTAGCTATGATAGTACTTCATATGATTCGTCCTCATCGTCATCATTAAATGTGGTCTATCTCTTGCTACTAGTGACTGGTAATACCTCTGTAGATTCTTCACACTGGCAGAGTACCGTACTCCTTCTCTCTTGTCAGCTCAATACTTTTGTGACAACATCAAAGTGATTTTAGTTAGTTATAGTTGGAAAAATACAAAAGACTAACATTACTAAGTTATTGACATTCTTGAGTAAGAACAATCAGTTTTTGAATAGTTAAAAGACAAAACAACGAAAATAAAAAAATGTTGAAATTGTTAAATGCAGAATTGTTAAAATTGTTAAAACTGATAAAATTGTTAAAAATGATAAAATTGTTAAAAATGTTAAATTGTTAAAAATATTAATGTCCGATGCACTCGGGTTCGAACTTGCAATGCCTGGGATTGCCGCCTTGCGCGTTTCCAACCGAGCTAACTCGGTGCGATACACATCACTCACTGCATTGTATGTCATAAAAAGTAAACAGCATGGCGGTATCGATCGCTTCAAGGCACCAAGACTTTCAACTATTAACTACGGGGTTTCCTTCTTTATCAGGTTTGCTTTTGAACCACCTTGATGTTACTTAACTATCAACCCGGCTAGCAGAAGCCGCCGGCTCCTTTAATATTACAGCCGCTCCCTGTCCAATCTTCGAAAACTGTCGGGCAGGCAAGCCCTCGACGCTCGCCAGGAAGCCGTCTCGCGATGTTCTCAGCAACAACAAACGAACGCCTGTACATTCTACAATTTTGGTGATTCTTCGGAGATCGATAACAGAACCTTGATAATACTAGTTGGTAAAGATTGCAGAAAATTGTTGATACCGTGGCGCGCGCGCCGACGATGCACATTACGTACCGCGTAACTTTTTTGTTTACACGCCGGGCGCAGGTCATTGACCTCCAACTTGCGTTGTTCCAACAGAGAAGAGCAAAATGTCTGGCTCCCGCAGAACGTACCGCACTCTCCCGCTGGACGTACCGCACTCTCCCGCAGAACGTATCGCACTCTCCCGGAGGACGTCCCGCACTCTCCCGAGGGAAGTCCCGCACAGCGTCCTGCACTCTCCCGCAGAACGTCCCTCGAAAATCGATGCGTATTTCGTGGCCTGTGCTGTACCTACCAAAACACTTGAGTTCATACTGTCAAAATGGAATGGCTTTGAACAGGTGTTAATCGAGTTAATCCAATCAAATCCAACAGCCAATCAGCAAGAAGAATAGATTGGTCAGGTTCATGCTTGCTTGCCCATATATGGGCATACCGCCGAATTCCTTTCTTATTACGTCACGCGCGTACGCCCCGACAGTACTTTCCTATGGGGACCGCTAAAAAAGCAAATAAAACGATTGTAAAAGCTTGTATCACAAAAAATTAAAAAACGCCTAGGGGTATTTGCCCACTGTACCTCCATACCAAATTCCAGGACCTTAGGCCCTAAAATGAAGAAGCTGAATCCATTTAAAAAATGGCAGGAGAAGAAGAAGAAGAAGAAGGAGAAGGAGAAGGAGAAGAAACATCAGAAAAAGCAATATGGGTTCACCACCACTTCGTGGTGTGGTGAACCCATAAAAATACACAATAACTCGAGAAGGCTTGGGTACAATGTCCTGATATTCGGTAGGTGGGTAGGTCTTGATAAGACCTCAAAAAGATTTTAAGCGCTCTCTAACGGCTGGTTATGAGACTGTAGTGGAACTCCTGTTTTTCTGTTTGTTTTACTATCGCCAGGTGACGTAGTTCAGGATGGCGATATTGAAGCGAAGCTGCTCCTGTTGTGGCTGTGACGTCAAGGCCGGCTCCATCGTGGTCGCAGTCATCTGGATTGTAAGTCAAAAATAAAAACACAATTGTCTCAAATCAAATTGCTCAGGAAAAAAATTGGTTTTCTTGATATCAACTTGATACCATACCATACTATAATTGCACCCACGTGATTATGACGTAGGCAAAGACCACTGCTCGATGGTTAAAGAAGGCTTCTATTCCAAAAGTGGTAATTATATCATTAAGTAAAAAAACACTCCTTGGTTTAAGCTTGAAGGTAACTTTAAACGGTAAGATCTTTAAGGTAACGAATCGAAAACAGTGGATTGACGATCAAAAAGGTGGAAGGTAGACAAACAGTTTTGGGGACTATAGGGGTATAGAGGTGCCGATTGTACCTGACTTTCCATCACAAATAGCAGTCAAACTGAAAGCATAGCGATGAGTGGTTCTAACATTGTGGCTATATGTCCGTCCATACTAAGTACTAGTAGTTTTCTATTAATGCTTCAAAGGAGATGGTATGGGCAATGGGACCAGTCTCATTTTGTTAGCGCGTTCCATCACCATTGGCGACCTATAGATAAGGGACAACTGTGCATGTTACAATGAAGGACAACTAGTTCAACATGGTAAAAAAGGAGGTAAGGAATAAGACTTCACATCTTGATATAGGTACATGCTTGTTAACTACTAGCTCAAGTTTATAATGGCGTAACTTTTTTCCCACAGATTTTATCCCTGATTGGACTAGGCTATAACGCAACGTCCTCGAGTAAGTGACTTTTACAAAATTTTGTGTACATTTATACTTAATGGGGGTAGGGGCGTTTTCGAGCAGCTTTGGTAATAACATATATTTAACACCGATTTCTTCCGTAAGCAAGGCCACACTACTAGTACTCTTAATATTTATGGATTACAACCGCCGCCAGCGCATTGATTTTCGCCTGTTCTAAAGACACCCCCCCCCCAAAAAGCAGCTACAGGAATGCAAAGCTGGTATTGCTTATTTGCAGTTTTACACGAAAACGATAAAACGATATAAAAAATTCTAAAGCAAGCCTGCCAATGCTGGCTTAGCTTTTTTCAGGATTTTTGAGTCAGCACGTACCGTCCTGAGTTCTAGTGTTCTGTTTAGCCACCAAAACTAGGTGCGCAATGAAAAAAAAAAGAGTTTGAAATGAACTGTTTGTTTAATATTTCTCGCCCACCCGAGAGCTCAGCTAGGCCCCTTGGAAATAAATTGTGACGTTCTAATATGTAACAAGGCTGCCTACCAGGACACCTATGAACTGCAGACAGCCCTACAGACATGTATGTAATGTGCCTGAATTGTTAATTACTGTTATTGTTTTGATTTCTCTAGCGCCGGCCGGCAAAGCCCTCCTTGCCGTCTATGTCGTGAGCCTCGGCACCCATATTCTGCTCATCATTGCAGTAGTCAAGGTAAAACTACGGTGACATTTCCCAACCTATGCCCTGACGGTAGTTTAAAGGCTAAGCCGACTTGCATGGTTTTGGAAAGAGTAAGATTGTTCCTTCGTAGGGGTTGGTGTCAGTATAAGCTTTAGTGTTTGGGGAAAGAACATAACAGCACGTTAAAGAACCCACCACACTTACCAGTATCAATAATATCATCACAAGATAGTCCTACCGCTTTGTGCATAATCAAACAGCGGCCTTGTCAAAAATTGCGGACCGTCAGCCAACCAGGCACCCCCTTACGTTTACTGTTGTAGGAGGGAAAGCATCTAGCCAATCAGATGGCCTATTGACAGCAGGCGGTGATGTAATTGGCTGGTAACTTTCCTTCAATAACAGGAAGCGTGAGAACCGAAAGCCACTCAGCCAAATATAGCCGCCCAAACACCCTCAACCATCATTGGAAGTAATGTCGGCTGTAGTTGGCTGGTTTTCTGTGAGCTTGGCTGCGTTAGCCTAGTGCTCACAAGGGTGTGACCGGGTTGACCGGTGGTTGGTTGGTGTTCGGGAGTAGTTCATCACTGCCATTTTTAATAATTATGTGTTTGAAATAAATTGGATTAGTAGAGAAAGGGAGGCGTGGCTTTAATCTTGTAAGACTGCTCCCGGACTTTAGCCAAACTTGGTTGCTTGGTATTAGTGATACATTTGTAGTAGTGATTGGTTTATTGTTAAAACATAACAAAACGGCCTTGAAGCCATAGCTTAATGGGACCGGCCGGCGCCGAGATTTACAGGAAAAATTCAACTACAGTAAAATCAACATAACTACCAAACTAATATGTTCACGTTACATTAAACATTAGACAGTGTTGCCATATTTACTATTACATGTACTTGACGTGACACTAGACACACTGGTTATGAGAATGTTCCGGGTGTGTGACAGGGCCTTTACAGCATACCCTTCACTCTTTGACAGGCAATACGTCCGCTGCTTTTGACCTGGGTGATCATCACCATCATCTGCACTGTGGCGGCCCTGGCCATCTACATCTATGTGACAGATGTAGACGTTAAAATCATCAATCGCTTGGTGTGTCATCTATTGTTTACTTTTGTTATATTGCCTAGAGAAAACATATTGTTTTTGCTACGATACCTTTTCTCCTCTTTTCGTTCCAAACGCTTACCGAACTGGCGAAAGACATGATTTGTGGACGTCTTTCAACATGGTGAATTGTGTTGGGTCACATAATGTTGCAATCTTATAGGAGGAGGGATATATACCGCTGTCTGACCAAATGCATGCATATGAATGTATTTGAGTAAGAATTAACAGAGCAGACCATATGCAAAGGTAAACATAATGCATTTGCTTTGCAAATGTTACATTTCTAGTTTGTTTATAAGCCACCCGTAAGCTACAATTACTGCTTGAATAAATTGTGCACTTTGTTTTTTCAAACATCTAGCATACATCTAGCAAACATCTTCCAATACAGTTAATACTTTTCTTTATTACTTCCGGGTATGGGAGTATTGTTTTTGGTGGATGACGTTTGAGTTTGTGTGTTTCAAAGGTTGCCAATGGCCCGGAGCAGTATATCGGAGGAGTCTTCCTGTTCAATGCATTGAAAACGGGCCTTACTCTCATCTGGATCTATTGGGGAGCACTCCTATGTATGACGGTAAGACTTTGTTGTATCTAGAACCGTGATTTATCCAGATGAATGATCAGACGCGGTTTTGGATGGTCCAAGCGTATCTAGAACCAGGGTTACGGGGGGGGGTCTACGTTGGGGTACGCAATTATAACTTTGTCCAATTCTTCGCCTTTTTTTCTTTCAAACATAGATCTTTCATATGATTTTTTGTCCCGGCACAAAAATCAGTTTTACGCTAAGCGAGTCCCAGTCAAATAAGTCAAGGAAAAACACAAGGTAGAAAGCGGATACGGATTTCATGTTTGGCGGAAACACAACCATTTAATTGCGTACTGAACTTGGACTTGAACGTAAACTTGAGTATGAACTTGAACTTGAATTAAAAGTAAATTATTACACATGAATAGAATTGACATTGTGATGACGACATACGTAAGAAAAATCCCCATGGGATTTATCTATCCGGTCAACAGTATACAGCAGTTATATATATACGTGGTCATGATGTTGAGAAATATGTAATCACATAAGCGACATTACAAGCTGAGAACTAAAAACCACCAAAAGCTCACTAAGATTGTGAGCAGAAAAGGGGCCAACATGGAGCAAAAATGCGACACAAATAAGGTTTTAAGAATAGGTATACATGTACATACATACACAGCCAATTAAAACCCTGCCAGCAGGCAAGATTAGATGGAAATTCGGGTATAGTTAGTTACAAGGCCGGTGAAAGTGGGGCCAGAGAAAATAGAATCAATGAGAGGGGGCAAAGTTTGACTGAACTCGTTAACGCGAGCGCGGCCTGGAAATCTCGCGTGTTGGGGGGGGGGCGCATACGGTTTGCAGAAGACGTTATGTGCGAGTTCGACAAAAACTATGTGAGGAAAGGAGGCCCTGAGCTTTGGTAGTACTTTAGTACGGTATCGCGGGATAAAGCCAAGAAACTCAATAGCTACATTTGAGAGCTGAAATAGCTACACCAGCCAAACGAGCTATTCAGTGATAAAATAACCGATAGTCAGTCGGTAAAACAATTGAATTAGCTACACCAGCCAAACGGGCTATTCAGTGATAAAATAACCGATAGTCAATCGGCAAAACAATTGAATTAGCTACACCAGCCAAACGGGCTATTCAGTGATAAAATAACCGATAGTCAGTCGGTAAAACAATTGAATTAGCTACACCAGCCAAACGGGCTATTCAGTGATAAAATAACCGATAGTCAGTCGGTAGAACAACTGAAATAGCTACACCAGCCAAATGAGCTATTCGGTGTAAGGAATGACGCCATGAGCGGGTGGCGAGCGCATGACGGAAGTGATAAAATAATTTAACTAAAAGGCTATCGGGTAACAGGGTAAACCGGGTAAGCCCGTAAAATATATTCTTTTATCTACAGAAATATGTTTGTAATTAAGGGTGGAAATATTGGGTGGGTTGGGAGGGAATTTCGTGTAAGTCGGAGAGGGTTTAGTGGAGAGATTTGTAGGAAGGTCTGGCGTACACGACCTGTCCGGACCGCGTGTTAGCTCAGAGTGACACCACGCGGCACGGAAGTGACAAACACAACCATTTAATTGCGTACCGAACTTGGACTTGAACGTAAACTGACCGCGTGCTAGCTCAGAGTGACACCACGCGGTACGGTCTAATTGGGAACAGCCTCTGTGAAGAGGATCTCAAACAGATCACTCTGTTGTCATGGCAACAGGCGAGACAGGCCACCCTGGTGGGTTGGCTTCCTGCTTTCCCAGCAAAAGCTCCTTTTTGCTTGTGCAAAATGTCTTTTCGCTTCTAAACCCGGAGCTACGAGTGATAGATTTTACAGCTGGGATGCATTGAATAGAGAATGCAAGGTCCGCCAGGTTTTGCGCAATTTGGTGAGGGGAGAGGTCCGCATGACACAAGTCGTTTTGACCCAGTTTAATATACACAATGTCAGAAGGGAAGTCTCTAATGTACGGGAGTAGCCGAGATCTGTATCGCGGGATTGTGCAACCAGGAATGCCGTGGAAGTCAACAGTTACTTCTGACAACCAGAAATCAGGGGCCACCGCTCGGCCGGACTGTGTAGTAGTATGGGTCCGTATAAAGGACTCTAGTCGGCAAACGAAGGAGTGACCCGTGATGAAGGCGCTGTCCATGCTGACAAATAAGTATTACTAGTAGATGACAGACTCACCGCAAGCAAGGACGCAAAAGGTCGGTGAACTCCTGGCCGGAGGCTCTACACGGGCCACAGCGTTCTGTCCAGTACGCTCCGGTACGATCAGCCGCAGCAGTTGCGACGCGACTTGGGAAAGGTCCTCCGGAGGGTAGAGCACGGCGTTCGCAGTTCGTGGACGCAGCGGTGAGGGCTCCACGTGGCGCGGCGGGGGCACGGTGTCTCAGTCCGAAGATTCAGACTTGGGAAAGGTCTTTCGCGGCGGAGGGTAGAGCACGCCGTTCGCTGTTCGTGGAAGCATCGGCGAGAGGGCTCCACGTGGGGCGGCGGGCGCATGGTGTCTCAGTCCGAAGATTCAGAGCGAAGATGAAAAATTTTGAGAAGAAATATCCAGAGTGTGATCAGACGAGCGAGCTTTCGTGTGATCGATCTACTACGTGTGATCTGGGTGGAATGAATGATTCCCACTGCCCGTATTTGTTTGTTTGTGAGACCATGTCAACTCGGCCAATCAGAGTGCGTTACCTTATCGAGGATGTGTCCCCATATGTGTTAGATTTCGGGCCGGTCACGATTAAGCTGCGTGCACAAGTTGTGCCAATCTGGATTGAATTTTGATCTGGGCCACGCACCGCTGAAAACCACATTTATCAGTTATTCAGTTATTGCAGAATTTATGTATTATTCTTCTGAGTCAAATTTCAAGAACGTTCAGGCAATAAGAAATATAACTATCGACCGTTCCAATCCCTAATGTTAGGCCCTTATCTATGTACTTGCAACGTTCTAGCACGTCCAAAATCAACAAAGCGCATCCAAATAGTGCATGAGAAATATTAATGAAAGGGAGAGGAAAGTAATAATACATTGCGAACAATGGATTTACATATTACAGAAATAGACGATATATCAGAAAAGAAATATCTATCAGCATTATTTACTTCTACTACCAAAGTTTTATATATATATATACATGTACCTAATAATAGGAATTTTCAACGTTATACTTTAGCATAGAACATGAAAGGGAACTAATATTAAACTAAAAAAATCATTTTCGATTTTAGGGATTTTTTAAATACTACAGTCTCTATATTCTAAAATACTAGATTGTCTACATTTTTGGGACTTAACCAATGGCATATAAACACAATATACCAGGAAACTGTATCTGCTGACTATATATATCTAGTTTGTTTTCGCTGGACTCGAATAAACTTTTGTTTTATATCTGATGAAATACCAGGCACGGTTTTTTATGTAAGCGTGTTATGTTATGTGTATGTGTTATGCCTACAATGATAAAGTTTAGTATATTATTAACCTAGAGGGATGTGTGTGTGTGGTCGTTCTTTTATGCTTTTCCTGAGGACCAAAAAATTTCCAATGCAGAGATATTTTTATCTGAAAAAGATGAGAACATAGTATGATCTAAATATGGCTCGAGGTGCTGACACACCCGTTTGATGACCTTACATATGCAAATTCAAATGTCGCACAGGTTAACGTTAAGGTTTGCTCAATCAATGATCTATTTCAAACTGTCAGAATATATTCTGTAGTATGTACATTCAAACATCTACCTAGCAATCGTGGTCCCTTTGATTTTTTTTAGTCCATAGTACGTATATAATACGTATACGTAAATGTGGCAACCTGTATATTAGTACTTTGGCAGGTTTGAATGTATTGGTGATTCGTAATTCGTAGGCAGCCTCTCCAAAATTCAACGTAATTCGTAAGAGTACATTTAACTGCAAAGCGTAAAGTCGCAATCTGCTCTGAAACTTTAACGTAATTCGTAATCGCTACCCCCATTCCACACCAATGTCCAGTGTTGCGTGGCTCTATACACATTGGCAAGGTTAAATTTTGACTTGCCCGGTTACTATCGGTCAATGGCTGACAAGCAAATGATTAAATACAATACAGGCACGTTGACAACTCTACAAAATCCCATTGCACTGTACATATCGCAACCTGTATCGAAACATGTGCAAGCTTATATTATTTACAAAAAATTGGACATCCTACATATACATCAAATATAGAATCCGTCACATACCCTTGTATACATGTGTGTGTGTGTGTGGGGGGGGTCTGTTCATAAGCTGTCCTTCTGAAGTGGCTGTAATAGTATAGGAAACTGTACCTGGCTTATTTGTGCCTTCATACAATATATCTGTATATTACTGTTATCTACGCAAGACCACATCACCTTACAAGTACGAAAAAACAAATGTAATATTAATTCGCCCTGAGAAATGTCTGTTCGAGCTTTCGACATATCACAGGTTTTAATAGTTAGAAATTCAGGGTCTTCTTGAAAAGTTTTTAAACTATTACATTAGTAATTTCTACATAGCATGAAACGTTTATACGTCACATACTGTGGTATGCATGTGTGTGTGTGTTATTAATCTCACACTTGTCAGGTTATTAACGGTCAACTCAGTACATCAGTGCAGTAGAATATGTCTTCTTCAACACTTTAAAGCTGCAAATTGTAACGATTGGGTTATACAATAATTAAACTTTCTGGTCATTTCTTTACCATATAAGTTGAATCAAACCATACCACATCGCAGTTAAGTGCTATTCAGGAAGTGGAGGTGCTAAAATACGAGGCCTTACGACTGTGTTCAAAAACTAGGAACACAGCTGTCAGCCATGTTTGTTTAAATTCCGGTAGTTTGCGGTGGTGCCACAAACTTGGTGCGCCTCGTGTGGGCTGTTTTGGCTCCAACTTTAAATTTCAGAAATATGAGATAAGTGCTAAAATAAAAATATGTTGAAAAGTATAAGAAAGAACAATCAAACATTTTTTAATTTTTTGGTGCAAATGTTTCACATTATGCCGGTTTAAAGCTGTGGCATGTTTTGATGCACTTAGTAAAGGCGTAAATGACGAACTTCACTGGAAAGATAGAGTACCTGCCTACCTTTTGTTTTCATAATTTTTTTTATTGTAGTCAAAATACAAGATATCTTTTTTTTGTTTGTTTGAGCCTTTATTTCAACTCGATCTGTAACAGTGTTACATGCTCTAATCGGCCGCTATTTCGGCCGCTTTTCATAGAGGTCGAGCGTGGAGGAGTGTCAGGGGGTCATAACATAAATACTACTTGCTCACAAATGAAAACAAAGTAATATTTTTTATACATAAGGTAACTCACACAAAGTAAATAAATAAACAAAATGGCAATAACTAATAAATAACTCATAAGTCGTTGTGTCCAAAATCCAGTTGTGTCCAGTATCGTCAAAGTCAGTTACGATACTAGCAGTCTTTTAAAGGTTCTAAGAGTAGGTGCTGCTCTAACATGCTGCGGAAGAGCGTTCCATACAAGAGAGCCAGAGTAGGCTAGGGATCTCCGGTATATTTCTCTTAATGGCATCGGTACCGCAAGGAGATCAGTCGCGCTTTGTCTGGTGCTTCTGGTCGCTCTATCCCTACAGTATGTGAAAATCCGGCGCATGTACGGCGGTAGTTGGTTGTTCAGGGCCTTATGTAGTAGGAGGGCTTTGTGATGTTTGTGGATTGACTTTACGTCCATCCAGCCCAGACGTCGGTGGACTTCGGCTGATGGAGTTAGATACGGGGCTCGTAGAATCAGCTTGCCAGCTCGGTTCTGCAACCTTTGCAATTTCCCCAACTCACGTTCTATGAGCGTATCAAACGCTTTGGAGAGGTCAATAAAAACCGCCCCTGTCAGCTGACCAGTGTTCATGGCATTAAACCACTTCTCTGTTAGTAGGTGGGCCGCAGATTGTGTGGAATGGCCTGGCCTAAACCCAGACTGGGCCTCTGTAAGAATACTGTTTACTGACAAATAGTTGTACAGTTGAGTATGTACCGCCCTTTCCAATATCTTTGAGACAGCAGGTAGTATGCTGACAGGTCTATAGTTATTTGGCGCAGCTCTATCCCCTGCTTTGTGTATAGGCGATAGGCGTGCCTTCTTCCAGTCCTCTGGGAACTCACTTCTGAGCAGCGATTCATTGAATATTTTCGTCAGAGAGGGTGCGATGATCTCGGCTGCTGACTTGAGCAGTCTGTTGTTCAGGTGATCTAGACCCACAGCTTTGTCCGTTTTCAGGAGTTCATGTTGTACGAACTCAACTGATACTTGACTGAAAGTAAAACGAGCCAGACAACGTTGCACGAACTGTAACGGGCGGAGGAGTGATGTCCCCTTGTTGATACTGAGTGCGAGCTTTTCAGCAACTGTACCAAAATACTCGTTCAGTTTATGGGCAATTTCAGGTGGTGAGGAACACACATCTCCGTTGTCATCTTTAAGACATGAAATACAGGATGACTTGTTCCTCCCTAGTAAAGACTTGAGTGATTTCCACATGCTATTAACATTGCCGTTGTTGATTTCATCAGTCAGGTAAGTTCGCTTACTCGAGATGATTAGGCGCTTAGTGTGATTACGCAACCTTCTGTATGTTTCCCAGTCAGTTGGCCTCTGGGTCGACTCAGCTGTGTGTCTTGCTTCGTCACGAAGTGACATTAGCTCACGTATGTCTTGTGTGAGCCACGGCGGACAGTCCTCTCCCCTCACCCTGAACTTTTTGAGAGGTGCGTGTTTGTTGCAAACAGTTACGAAGAGTGATTTCCAGAGGTGCCACTAAGGGTTCGTCTTACCTGTCAACTAGGCACGAACTCGGGTGGGAATCATTATCAGATAGACGACATGTTCATCGACTTTGTTTGTTTCACAGAATCGTTCATGGTTTAACTCGCAACTACTTGTCTGAAATATTACCCGCGGCCATTTTTTCATCATGTACATATGACCTACGCAACAAGATGAACTTAAGATCTCCTAGTTACTCAACCAATCGTTTTGCTAAGTCTTTTGTTCCGTACTCGACACACCATTGGAATAATCTTGATTTGTCAACTCGTTCTTTAAACTACTGTCATTTTCGAACCGCTCTCCTCAAAACCATTCGGCCTGTTAAGTTCAAATACTTTAGCCATGGTCCTCGTCTTGCCTGTGTACACCTCACACGCCTTCGCATTGGCACCCGTAGCCTAAACCACAGTCTCTTCACACGAGGATTACTCGACAGTCCAGCTTGNATATATATATATATATATATATATATATATATATATATATATATATATATATATATAGTATGTATATATATAGTATGTATATATACATGTATATAGTATGAATATATAGTATGTATATATAGTATGTATATATGATTGTGTTTCTGTACTTACGATTTTAATTGTACGGTTGCCCTGATGTGTACAGACTCACGGATGGTTTCACGTGCCAGTAAGGTCACGTGAGGCATCATACGTGGGTCTGCCATTTACAAAAAGGGCCCATTGCTACAAATTTATCCTTGGTGATGTGTTTGTGTGCCCATCTTGTAGGTGTATGGCTGCCTTGTGGTGTTTTCGCACTACCAGAACCTCCGTGACGAAGCACGTGGACAGGGACAACCTCAAATGGTACCGATGGGCAACCAACCCTACGTGGCGGGCAACCAAACCTACATAGCGGGTAACTAACCCTACATAGCGGGTACCCAACCCTACATAGTGGGTAACCAACCCCACATAGCGGGTACCCAACCCTACATAGCGGGCAACCAAACCTACATGACAGGCAACCAAACCTACATAGCGGGCAACCAAACCCTACATGGCGGGCAACCAACCCTACAGGGCGGGCAACAAACCCAACATGGCGGCCAACCAACCCAACATGGCGGTCAACCAACCCAACATGGCGGACAACCAACCCAACATGGCGGACAACCAACCCAACATGGCGGACAACCAACCCAACATGGCGGCCAACCAACCCAACATGGCGGACAACCAACCCAACATGGCAGACAACCAACCCAACATGGCGGACAACCAACCCAACATGGCGGACAACCAACCCAACATGGCGGACAACCAACCCAACATGGCCACCAACCGGGTGCCGCCAACCAACCCAACATGGCGGCCAACCAACCTAGCATGGAGGATAACCAACCCACCAAGGGGGCTAATCAACCCACCGCTACCAACCGACCAAGGGGAACACGCAATCCATTATATATGACAGGTCCTCAGTAGGATTATGGCCAAAAATCAAACGACGCAAGTACACTTTTGGGCCTTATTCATTCGGACTGTCCTTACTTCCAGTTACTTAATTGGCAGGCAACCAACCCTAACCTGGCTGCCAACCTATAGCACCTGAGCCTCATAGTGTTATCCTATTGCCTTAATCGCTAGTTTAAATTGACAACTAGGATTGATCTACCGATTTACATGTAGTTTGAACGTGTCCATATAGGAAAATATTTGTCAACATGACTTGCATTATAATATTTTATGGGTAACTAATCGGTGTGTAGATGTGACAAATATATTGATGGTAGGTAAAGGAAAGTAACTATACATAAAACAAATATGATATAGCATATTAGAGAAATTGACCGCTTAGCATGGAAGGTGTGTACTAGTAATCGTAGTCTATACTCAAGCTTTTTTTATACATGTATGTAAAAATCGCATAAACCATCAATGTTTAAGAATTGTACTGTTGTTTTGGAATAAAAAAATAGTAGGGAATTTAAGATTTTCTATGATACTTAAGTTTCAATATTTGGTGGGGTACAGACATAAGCATGTCAACATACCAGGATATTCTGTGTATAGTCTTTCATTGTTGGTCACTTTTATGTATTTGTGTATATACTATGATACTGTATAAGGCCTCAATTGGAATGGTCGGATACGAATGTGAAATGAATGTGAAGAATAAGATTTTTTTCAGTTTTGGATAATGTTAGTCCATGGCTAGGCCAAGTAACTGTTATCGATGACTTCCACGCCAGCATAAAGTTTCATCTGATTGAAAATTAAAAAAAAAGAACAAACAAATAAGAAATTGTCTACTGTTCCGCACTGCTATGTAACTATAGAAGTGACGCTACATCCTTGAGCGTGGCTGTAGTGATACCAGGCTTCCACACTATTGCAACTTTATTAACCGCCACATTTCGTGAATACAGGTTTAAAACAGAAATAAAAACATGTTGACTGTAAAACGAGGTTTTGTCCCCTCACTTTTTGTTTATTATTAAAAAAGTTTATTCCTTCTTCTTGTTAATGTAAAAATCATGTTCTTAATGTTTCCACATTTCCCTGGACACCAACATATTCAATTTGTGTAGCTTGAATGTGCAGCCATCTAGTATTTTTAAAGCATAGAATTTTTTTTTAATTTTGAGACCCTTAACTATTTACATCCCTATAGGCTACATACTGTGTTATGCCACAATACGATCATCATGTTTTTGCACATTATTAGCTCTGTTGGTATGCATGGTCCCTAAATGAAAAAAAAAGCCTGCTGCCCGCTGTTGTTCGAAATGCATCCCAAGCTGCATGATAGACTGGTTGCCGGCTTATTTTGTTTCTCAATCGTCCACTTTTAATTCAAATTCCAACACGACGCTTGAACCAACATGCCAAATTACTCTAATGATAGCAAACTTTCGAAAAATGTACATAATTTTGGTAGAATTTAAGGTTAAATTGGCAATCTAGGTGATCCTCTAAAAATGCAAAGTTTCACTTCTTTGTATTACTGTTAGTGGTCATGAAGAAGTTACAAAAGCCAAAATTTGAAGTATTAAACAGGTATCTTGTATTTTGACTACAATAAAATAATTATGAAAATAAAAAGTAGGCAGGTACTCTATCTTTCCAGTGAATTTCCTCATTTACGCGTTTATCAAATGCAACAAAACATGCCACAACTTTAAACCGTCATTATGCGATATTAATAGATTTGCACCAAAAATTGAAATATTTCAATTTAAATTAAAAAAAATTAAAAAAAATTGGGCGATTGTCCTTTTTTAAGTTTAACATATTTTTATTTTAGCACTTATCTCATATTTCTGACATATAAAGTTGGCGCCAAAACAACCGAGACGAGGCGCACTCAGTTTGTGGCACCACTGGAAACCGGAATGTAAACAAACATGGCTGACAGCTGTGTTCCTAGTTTTTAAACACAGTCGTAAGGCCTCGTATTTTGACACCTCCACTTCCTGAATAGCACTTAATTGCGATGGGGTATGGTTTGATTTAACTTATATTGTAAAGAAATGACCAGAAAGTTTACTTTTTGTATCGCCCTAACGTTACAATTTGCAGCTTTAAAGTGTTGAAGAAGACATATTCTACTGCACTGATGTACTGAGTTGACCGTTAATAACCTGTCAAGTGTGAGATTTGCCGGGTTAATAACACACACACATGTATACAACAGTATGTGACGTAGAAACGTTTCATGCTATGTAGAAATTACTAAGGAAATAGGCTATGTTTTATATTTAAAAACTTTGCAACAAGACCATTAACTTCTAACAATTAAAACATGTGATACGTCGAAAGCTCGAACAGACATTTCTCAGGGGGAATTGCATTTGTTTTTCTGACTTGTAAGATGATGTGGTCTTGCGTAGATAACAGTAATATTGTATGAAGGCACAAAAAAGCCTGGTACAGTTTCCTATACTATTACAGCCACTTCAGAAGGACAGCTTATGAACAGACCCCCCCCCCCACACACACACACATGTGATTTAACCTTGCTGATGTGTATAGAGCCACGCAACACTGAACATTGGTGTGGAATGGGGGGTATGGGGGGTAGTGATTACAAATTACGTTAAAGGCTCAGAGCTGATTACGACTTTACGCTTTGCAGTTGATGTACTATTAACACGAATTACGTTGACTTTTGGAGAGGCTGCCTACGAAATACGAAGTCTAAAAAGGCCTGATTACGCCTTACGACAAAGGGCATGACGGCCCCCACGGAAGTTTGCTGACGTACGAACCACTTAAACAATGGCGTGGAAAATTCCGTTTGTGTCTGTGTTCAATGAAGTGTGTAATTTTGACCTACCGGTCGAAAATCACTTCAACTGTGTTACGTGTACTGCAAATATGTACTTTTAATACATTGAACCTACCAGAAAGACACTATTAGGGTATTTTTAAATCGTTGTTATGTTATCATTGTTACGTTTGAATCCCTTCAAACTGTTACTGGTATTGTGCATTCTTGAATCTAACCTTGAACAACTGAATCGATCATACACTGCTGAATTGATCATCCTATTTGCTATTACCTTATCTGTACATTTGCTAGTAGCAGACGTCAAACACCTAGGGTTTGAAAACAAACAATAAATACATTGTTTAGAAGTTGTACAATTCATGATCCTGTCAGACCGAGTAATGCCTTAAAACACCAATGCATTTAACCTGCCAAAGTACTAATATACAGGTTGCCACATTTACGTATACGTACTATTGACTAAAAATCAAAGGGGCCACCAAAACGTTGCTAATATACAG